TTAGCTCATCATGAGAGATTATAGCCACTTTCATTTACTTACAGTGAAACGTCATCTGTAAATAAATAAATTTACCATTATCTCAGTATTTCTGAGGTGCAGTTTACAGGTGAACTATACCATCTAGTAGACAAGGTAACAACAGAGATGAGTTTGGGGAGCTTTTAACACTATTCTGGTTTTCGTATCTTAGTAAATCTTAAAGCTTGTTTCTGAAATGGGGGGGTGGAGGGGGAAGGTTCTATTGAGAGTGTAAACTGAATATGTCCATTTTCTCTGTCCAGGAAAGGTGATTGTTGCTACTAATAAGGGAGTGTATATCTTGGTGCCACTACCTTTGGAAAAACAGATTCAGGATCTTCTAGCTAGCCACAGAGTGGAAGAAGCCCTTGTTCTAGCAAAAGGAGCTCGAAGGAATATTCCAAAAGAGAAATTTCAGGTCTGTCCTTCCTTTAATTTTCATGAAAACATGAATTTTATAGTGGGACCATGTATATAATGGTCAAGTAACCATAGAAGAGAGATCTAATACCTTTTATGGTTTCAGCCTGAGGAAATAGACATGCAGCTGAGTTGTCTAGTGCTTGTAAAGCACTAGATGTTGGCAGGGTTGAATGCTTTTCTGCTGGTGTTGGTATTTTTTCATGTATGTAACTTGAAAAAAATTTAACACAAAACTGAAAAACTAATAATAGGAAATCCCATGCGATGCTTCCCTCATACTAGGTTCAGTTGTTGGAGCATTTTGTTACCAGTAAAATAGTTACCTGTAGCATTGCTTTCAGTTTGTTTAGGAAGATGTAAAGTTAGGAACGTAACTACGGTGATTACGGCACTGCAGTGGTTCAAAATTATTCAGTCTGTAAGGATATTTCTTACTTTCAATGTGAAGAGGTTTCTAATTCCTTGTCATTTAAATTTTGGTCAAAGCCCTTGAAAAGCAGTCATTAAATTTCTTAGCTTTCATTTTTATCCTTAACTTGTTTGGTGAATGAACAGCTGGGGAGGCTTCTGGAAGTAAAAAGTTTGGCAAGAAAGGTGTTCCCATCCTTTTGCTTAGATACAATTACCTGGAAGTACTGGAAGCTGAAAAGTATTTAAGCAAATACAGAATTCAGTTTCCAGCATGTTTTGCTTTGCATCTTTGCTTCCAACTTTTCATTTACAATCTGTTTAAAGAACTAAACTTCAATCTTACTGTGAAGACAGAATGCATGATCTAATCAATGTCTTCTACAGTTATGTAGATTTAGTATGGGAGATACCTTTTTGTGTTTTACCACAGGTTGAACTGCAATTCATTATCTAAAATGAGTGACGTAGAGTCTCATTCCTCTTAAGTTTGCTTGCATTTAGGATTTTTCTGCCTGATAATTTACTTTCAGTTCACATGTGTCTTATGTGCACCATGTCTGTCTGCCTTAAATTACTGTTTAATGTTAAGAATATTAAATGTTCTTGCTAACTTATTATGCTTTTAAAGGTGTTCGGTTGCTTTGAGTCAGTGCTACAGCTGAAAACCAGAAAACATAGTATTTGCAAGCAAAATAGCCTGTTCTAGTTCTGGCCTGTATTTGTAAACTGAGATTAACCAGCTTAAATTACTGGAGTCTCCCACTGACTCATATTAAAATGACTCGACTTGGCTTAGTTGTTGAGATATTAGTCCAGTTTTTCAGAGCTTGTCTGTAGTTGAGAGCATGACATGTTGAGCTTGCTTTCTAACATGCCTCTGATACTTAATGATGTCATTACAGGTTAGTTACAAGCACATTAGACTTTTTAATTTTATTTTATTTTTTACTGTAGTCTCGCATGATACTAATCTGGTGGAGTTCAACCCAATTACATGCCGTACATATGTCTTTTGCAATGTTTCTTTGGCATACTTTCACATCGTCACTCTTTTCTAACTCCTAAGAGAAATGTACAGATAATAGATTATAACTAGATAGAAAATAGGTATCTTCAAATTGACATCTTCAGATATGTATTTTGTAAGCTTTACTGATTTCTCAGTAGCTGACACTTTCAAGGCCTTACTTTGCTATTTCATATGAACAGTGGGAAGGAAAGGATAGGATTGGTAGTAAGGCACTTGATCCAGCCACTATAATTTATCCATACAGAAAAGTGATAGTAATTGGTACATGTAGTATAGTGTCTCCTTTTCCACGTGCTGCTTTAATTTCTGAAGTTTCCCATGGCTGTTGCCGTCTTGTGACTTGAACTCAGTCGTGGCATTGTAGGACAGTTCTTCACCCTGGGACAACATGAGTTTTCTTTTCTTGCAGTTCAATACTGCATTGTCATTGCATGCATACACAGGTGCTTGCTTCTTCTCTTTATATCAGCATAAATATATAGATGGTAATGCAGAATGATAGTGGGATTGAAACAGTAAAGTATGGTACTCTCAGAATTATTTGTATAGGCAATATTTAGTTCTGAGCAGGTCGTGCATTAGTAAGTCTAATCTATTATTTAACCAGTGGTACCTGCAGACTGCAGATTTGTGTCTGCAATATTAAATGAAAATTACTTTGTCTTTGAGCATCAGGAATTACTGCTAGGTAAAAAATGCTAAGCAAAAGTGTTGCAAGGAGATGGCTTTGCTGGATATCATTTTTGATAGAATACAAAGGCCTTTCTACCATGCTACCATGAACTGACTGAATACTGCTTATTAATTTTTCAGGACAGCTGAAGTTTGCAGAAATCATGGTTGATGGTAGTGAAGACCTTGGTTAGATTGACACACATCTTGCATAGGTATCTTTTTTTTTTTTTTTTGGTTTTTTTTTTTTTTTTTTTTTGTTTTTTTTTTTTTTTTTTTTTTAATGTATCCCTTCCCCCCCATTTCTTTTTAGTTTCAAAAAACATTAACAGCACCAAAATGTGACCAAAAGACAAAGTGACTTTCTAGAAAAACTTTCTGACCATCTAGTTGGTAATTCTGACCATCTTTGGAATTTTTTTCTAGCAGTGGAGAGGCTAGGAAGGCTTCACTTACAGCTATCACAGCTTCAGTAGTCATCTTCCTGTTCTCTAGTGCTTTTTCAGATACAAATTAATATAAATATTGTTTCATGTTTTTGTAGCTAGTTTTTTAATGTGAATTCAGTCAACAATATGGATTTTTCCTAAAACACCTCAAGTCATATGCTGGTTCTTAAAAAATGATAGGGGAATAAACAATGTATTGAATTTTGACTGCGTATAACTTAGTAGTTTTTAAAAATAAGCCAACTGAGCTATTCTGGCAAATAAGTCTGGAAAAACTCAAGATGTTATTTCTGTCATAAACAGAAGTTAACTGTATGTGATTGGCATATAGGTCTAGCCCAGTTTTAAAAACCTGTGAGAAAGAGGATATTGACTTTTTCACAGACTGGTCTGTTATTTCCACAGTCTTTACCACAGAACGTCTTAATGTGTTTATCTTGTTGGCTAAAAATGAACCTACTTATTCCCTATCCCATCACTGCATCTTTTAAAGATTGGGAAAGTGTCTGTCAATGTTGTACAGATTTTTTATTTTTTATTTTTTTGTGTGTGTGGCTTTAAGGGATATGTGAAAATACGACAACATTTAAATGAAAGTGAATGCCACTTTATCAGTTCAAATTTAAAACAGATTCCTTGGGCTATGCTTACATTATCAACAAACTCTTTTTATCTTCTTTTTATCTTCCTGTACAAACTAAGCTCAACCATTAAAGCAGTATTTACACTGTGTTAGATCAATTCAAACTTCATTCCAATATCCTAATTCACTAAATATATAAATATTAGTGGTCCTAATTGCAGAGTTCAAAAATAAAATAAAATAACAATTCTACTTTGGTATTAGTTAGCAAGGTGAGAAATACTTGTACTTCAGCTCTCCCTGGCTTGAAAGGGAAAATCTGAGGCCAGGTTTTGAAGTTCTTCTGGTGCCATAAGATGCAGGTAGCTGCAGACTGAAATTGTTTATGAGCTCCTTAGGAATGTGACCAGACAGGTGTTCATCCATTCACAGATTACTGTTTACTGATGTAGTAACACAGTCGTATAGCCAAAACATTTTGGATACTTTGTGAATTAATCACCTGAGGTAGTTTTACTTTATTACTGGAATTAAATTCCCTTTCAGCTTTAGTATACTTGGATGTAAAGCATACTAGCATTAATATAAAGATGTCATTGTTCATTTATTTTTATGCTATGCTTGTCTGAAAAGGTGTGCCGGGTAGCATTTCTCTGTTTCCCGTTCATTCCCCCACACTGGGGGGCAAGAAAAGTCCCACAGCCTTACAAATCAGTAGGTTTTAATGGCTTGCTAAAGGTCAAGATTAAGTATTTCCTTAAGATAAACTCTTAGTAAAGCATGCACTAACCAAGTGATTTTAAGGCAAGCTTTTTCTTCTGGTAAACCTACAATCTTTAATGAAGGTGAAAAATTGCCAATTAGAATATCAGTCTACGCTACTTGAGGCCTGACATCCTTTAGTAATGCCTGCCTGGAATACTTTCCTAATGTATTGCAGTTCTCTGGGTATTTGAAACGGGAGTCTGTTTTTAATAACAGAATTAATGCACACTGTTAAACATTAGAAAGCTTCATGAGAAAGTTGAAGGGGAAAACTGAGGTCATGTGAATGTAGCTAGGTGTATTTGCGAAGTACCAGTGTTGTCACAACCAGTGGATGCTTTGCAGAGCACATTTTGGGGTTCCTTGCTTTTAGTAATTCTCTTTTGCCATTGGAAATATTCTGGGTATGAGGGTTTCATTTAACTAATTAACCATTCAGATTAAATAGGTACCTAGAATTTAAAATAGTTTTGAGAACTTCTTGTAAACTTTTTTCTGTCTAGGAGTGACCTTAACAATAAAACTTTGTAAGACAGTTTTTTGTGTGTTTTACTCGTGCTCCTCTTTTTAACCATAATTTTATGTACGTTTGCATAATGTACTGCACATTGGATAAGCTGGAGTGCTTTGGAAATATTTTTATTTTTTAAAAAAAAAGGAAAAAAAAACCTGGCATAAAGTCAGAAATATGGTCATCAGCTGGGGATGAGACTATAAGAGTAGCCAGCAAGGTTGCTGCTGAAGTGAGATGAGATGGGGAGAAAGTTAGCTCTGTGTGGTCAAGTGGGACCATCCTTCTGTTAAATCTTTTTTGTGCCTGCTGAATCATGGGGAGCTTCAAAGAAGGCCATTGGCTTTAATGTTTGCAAATACCACAAGTCAAAACTTGAGGCAAGTTAGACTGATGCCAGATAAGTGATTATTTAAATAAGGAAACTTGAGCTTGCAATTTGTTGACTTTCTCTTAGCAAGTGCTTGTTGTCAGTGTTGCGTTCACACTTGTGTGTGAAATTGAGTCTGGGCAGCAGATCCAGTATATTTGGGTACATACAATTTAAAATGTAGAGGATCAAGGTTTTATTTCGCATGTAACTTGACAGGTCTGGTTGAAGATCATGTGTTCAATGGTTTTGGCAGGTAGTTTTTGCACTAGTGGCTAGCACTGCATAACTCATTACAAATATTATAAACCTTTTCCCCCTCCCTTCTCTTTCATAGGTAATGTACAAACGAATCCTCCAGCAGGCAGGTTTTATACAGTTTGCACAGCTTCAGTTCCTTGAAGCAAAAGAACTCTTCAGGTAATTGTGTGACAAGAAATTTATTTATTTATCTTCTTTAAATAAGGAGTTAATGTTCTTCGGTTTAAAAATTTAGTTGCCTGAATGTTTTTTGACGCAGATATGAGTTCACTGTGATAAAATGGCTTTGTTGGGGGTAAGAACAGAGTAACATTGAGTTAATTTTATAACTGAAGAGTTAATGCAACTGATTTTTTTATTTTTTTTTGTATGCTAACATACAGTAGCAAAGTTTTTTACTTTATGCCTATGAAGTTCAAGGCCTTATTATTGAGCCCATGCTGTGATTTATAGCATGAACATTGCTTGGTTCTATTTAATCTTTTTAACCCCTTAGGAAAAGAAATGTAACAAAAAGTTTCAATTTAAATATTATTAATACAGGTACACTTTTTTTTTTTTGAGGATGCTGATACTGAATTTAACACTTGTTCTGCTAGACCTTTTCCAGAAGACAGATCATTTGTTCTTTAAGTCTGCACTAACCTTCCTGATTTAGCTGCTTCAGCAGTCACTTGTTTACAAATTGACCTTGTTCTCCACTTTCATTCAAAAAATGCTGCTCATTATCTTTATTTTTCTGATAATTTCGTTTTTACTAGCCATGCCCCATTCTGTGCTGGGGTGTTGTCCAGAGTTAGTGTAATCCATGCTGACCACATAAAATAATTCTCCTTGTTATCTGCTGAAATTAATTTTAAATCAGTTTAGAGTCTATGGAATAGGATTAAGGCTAGACTGTTTGCTGTATATTTTAAGTGTGTACACTACAGGAAAAAGTTGTCCTTGAGTTTATGGAAATGTATCGGGGAAATTAAAGGTTTGAGAACTGTTGCTATCAATGAGACATTTTGCCTCCTGCTCACCAGGATAATGGGAGACACTGGGCCTGAATGGGCACTGTACACTGAGTGACGATTAGGGAATGACAGGAAGGGCATGAACAGCATTTACTGGCATCTGTTTTGGCCATAAACTTTCTGTATCACCTTGTAATCTTTGGCATTGGTGAGTAATTTGCAATCTTCTTCCTCCCTGAATTCTTCCAAGCACTAGACTGAATCACTGCTGTGTTGCGTATTTGAACTACAAGCTGAACATAGTTAGGTATTCTTTACAGCATTCCTTCAAAGCCTTTCCAAATGGCTCTCCAATGCCCTTTTGTATGTTTGGGGGTTTTTTTGGTTTTTTTTTTGGTTTTTTTTTTTTTTTTGTTTTTTTTTTTTTGTTTGTTTTTTTTGCAGTGTGGCCAGCTTTGATAAAATAGCTTGTTGAGGTTGTACCAGCTATAAAGTGTCTCCAGTGTCTAGGTGTAGTTAGGTGGCCAGACTCGTTTAGTTCTGCAGCTGTCTTGACTATGGCTAACAAAATTTTTTCCCTATTACTTTATTCCACCCTGATTGTCAATAGTTCTCTGTGGGGTCTAATCTGGGGGCCCTGTCTTGCTGGTAGTGGCCGAGGATCTTTCGAAAGCAGTGAAAAGGGGAAACATATCCTGCATGGAGCTCCAGCACCTTGTAGAAGGAGCCAAGATCAGTTATGCAGCCTTCGTCCATCTGACAATTGACCTTCAATGAACAGTATTGTGAGAGGTCCTCTATAGAAAGAAACATGCTTCACAAGAAAATGTGCCGTCCAGGCATGAATTTTGAAGCTGAGTCAGCATTCCAGAATGTTCCTTTCCTGTAATAGCTGCAACGGCAAAACAGAAGAACTGTTCATGAAATGCTGAAGTCTTCTTGGGGGGGAGAAGGCAAATACAAATTTTCTGTGCTTTTTATCTGGCCAGCCGTGCATAAGCTATTCTGGTGACTCTGAAAAACTCCTTATGGAGTCCAAGTTTCCTGATACTCAGCCCTGGTGAACACACCCAGTTCGAGTAGTATCTGGGTATGCCCTGATACACTCTCAACCAACCTTGTTTGTTCTAGACTTACTGATGCTCAGAGGGAAAATGGGAAAGATAATGGCAGTCTATGCAAACACTTCTGCTCATCTGCTGGCATGTTTATAGCATTTCTTCATCTGTCTCCATGGTCAAATTCTCTGTCTCAGGCTTAGGCCGTCTCCAAATTAACTAGACATCATAGCCAGTAAGGGAATTAATATTTATGCTTGAATTTTGTGGATTTATCAAGATTCCTTGCTTCTGCATTAATTTTGAGTAGCCTATTGATGTTCAGTGAAGAACCTTGGAGGGAGGGGAAAAAATAATCTTTCTTTAGGGTTAATTTTCTAGTGTAATATCTCTGATTAATATATTTTATCTGGTGGTCCTCAAGTCTTAAATTTTCACAAGTAGTTGAACTACCCAAAGCTGTAACGAGTTCATATTGAAAGCCCAAATGCTCTTTGAACCATCAGGTCACGCCACTAACAGAACTTGCTACTTCTTGGTTGTTCTTCTTCCTAATAGTCCTTCTATCATAACGTCAATGTAAGAACTTCAAAATCAAATATGGAGTCTGAAAAGAGGGAATAAAAAGAAATTTCAAGTGCCTAAATCTTCAAAGTAGACATGAACTCCTTGCTCTTGGTTAGGGAATGGCCTTTTGCAGTAGGAGCTCTGTGTAGGAATCCGAAAAGCTTAGGACTCAAACCTCTTCTTATGGGAACACTTCCCACGTTCAGAACTTTTCTCTGTCGTGGTCCTCTATTGCTTATGTTGCTGTCCCCATGCTTTGCAGTCAGTAGGTGCTGGAACAGGATACTTGATGCTTTAAAATCTGCTGTTGCTGTCTCCCAAAATTTAATTGTGGTGGTACAGATTTTTGTAGCCAAAGGACAGTATTTACTTTTTTTAAAAAAGTTGTAAATAAATGTTGTCATTGCAGTGCTTCCTGCTAGTTTGTATTTCCTGGGTGGTTTTGGAACTGTGTCTCTGGCAAGAAGTGAACAACTCTGGGCATGTCCCACTGCTTTAGTTAGTTTACAGCAGCAGGGAAGGGATGAGCCTGCATGTGAAGATCATTCACACTTTGTTGCCTGCAGAAATCTTCTGCTTCATCTGCTTCCATGGTTATAACTTGGAGGGGTTTTTTTTAATTCTTCCCAGTTAGGGTTGTGAAGGGAAAATCTTTTTGGGGTTGTTGATCGCTGGATAGATAAGAACTATTTTTTAAAAAGTTGTATTTGCAACAAGATAATAACCAAACAGGGTTTCTTTTAGAGAACTGTCAGTTCATTTCAACTTTTTTTCAGCAACAGTATCACCTGCATTTCAGGGATGCTTATCTTTAAAGGTGAATTCTGAACAATGACTCTGACAGCGAAATAAAATACAAATCCTGATTTCTTGCTGTTGTTCTAAAACAAGGCCTGGGAAGAGGAGTCATTCTAGTTGTGAAAATTGGGAAGTTTTTCCACATGTGGAAAAATCTTCTCATTTTACTCTTCTGTCACAGCATGCATTCTTCAAATGCTTGAGAAGCTTCTTTTATCTAGGTTGAAAGGAAAATGTTTCATGTAGCATACCTGTTACAGTTTTCTCCTGGATAAAGAATAGATTCCCTTCACATCTGAAGTAGAAAAGCCACTCCATAGTATCTGACATAGATGGACAGCCAAGACCTATCTATGCCTGTACAGTGGGCTACTTCTTACTAGTTAGATGGATGCATAATAAGTATCCATGGTTCGTTTTCAGAACCTCCTTAAGAAGTGAGACAAAGGAAAAATTTGGTATGCTTCAGGGTTGGGGAAGAGGTTTTCATTATGCAAAAAGGTGTTCTGAAAGCTTTAGTTTTCTACAAGAAGCTGCTATTTTCTACAGAATTACACTTGCACAGTCTTTGTGGCTTGCTTGAGAGGGTTCATTCTCCATTTGTTTTGCCTCCTTCAGAAGACTGGCTCCCATAGTGTATGGATGAAATCTAGGACAGTCCTAATAGCTCCCATAGTGTATGGATGAAATCTAGGAGTGTATGGATGAAATCTAGGACAGTCCTAAGAACTGCACTAAGGCTGTTCAGCTGATTTTTGTATATGCCACAGAACAGCTGTGGGATACCAAAAGCAAAATGCTGGCCAGTCTCTGAATTTGCAGAGCTTTCAACATCTAGTGGAGGAGAAACAATAATAAACAAGTTCGTATTTAAATAGCAAAAAAAACTAAAATCCACATTCGTTCTGAATATATTTTCTCCAGCGTAGAAGGCACTAACTTTAAAAACTGACAACCTGTTAGTGTCCTGACTCTAAGCATATGTGAGCACATATTCCCAGTATGTTATTTTTTTGTGCCTATGTATACTTTTTCTTTCTTTTTGCTTCATCTAGTTTGACACTGTAATTGCAGAAGCGGCCAGCTTGATGTCCGGGAGCTGATCTCTCTCTACCCCTTCCTGTTGCCTACTTCCTCTTCATTTATACGGTCTCATCCCCCTCTGCATGAGTACGCGGACCTAAACCAGCTGACCCAAGGGGACCAGGAAAAGATGACAAAATGCAAACGGTTCCTCATGAGTTACTTGAATGAAGTCCGCAGCACTGAGGTGGCAAATGGCTACAAGGAAGATATTGACACAGCTTTACTCAAGCTATATGCAGAGGCAAATCATGAAAGCCTGCTGGATCTGCTAGTTTCGGAGAACTTTTGTCTCTTAACAGATAGTGCTGCCTGGCTGGAAAAACACAAAAAGTAAGTGGATTTTTTTGAGTATTGCACCTTTGACACCAGAGGGAAAATTGTCTTAGACACAATTGGCTTCTAGAGCAATGTGTTCAGATCCTTGTAATTTCTGTGCTTTCAGGTCCAAAAGATCAACTTGGGCCGACTTATCAGCATTTAAAATGTTGGTGAAAAGGTATTAATTGACAGTGTGAGGTAAAGGAAATGCATTCTGTCTTATGCTGGTAAATACAAAGTTTGTCCTGAAAGTTTGTGTCCAACACAAACATGTAGGACTGTTACAAATTTTTTTTTTTTGGGAAAAATAATATATTTGCTCTTTTGCTGACGTAAAAGTTGAATTGATGTAGTAGTGGTACTCAGAATGAAATGATGCCTTAAAGCACACATTACTGTAGGTAGACGCTGTTACCCACCTAGTGGCTTTAAAACTGTAGTTCCTTATTCAGAGGAGATCTTTTGAATTGCATACTTTCGGTGCTCCCACTGCTTCACCAGAAGGAAGTTGCTTAAGATGACTGCCCATGACTTCAAATTGGAAATGCCAGCAGGTGTCTTTAAGCAGGAAAGACTAGATAGTAAATGTGTCGAACTCCAGTCGTAGGTAGTGTCTCTGTCTTGGATTTAATTCCTTTAAACTGCGGTGCAGTAGTAGCAACTACAGTGGTGAGGCAGTCTTTAATTATGGTTAGATTTAGGGTAGTTTCATTTGTGTTGTATGTTTTGTTAAATTGTCTTGGTACCTATGGCTTGCATGGCAAACTTTTGGAAATGTGAAGGGTAGAACATTGTTCCACAAGAACAGCTGTTCCAGATCTTTGGCTGTATTTTTATTACAGTACAAAAAAAACCCCAACCGTATGTAATGGCACTGTACAAAGCTCTTCGTTGCCTGACTAGATTTCATGCTGCAGTAAAGAAACAATGTTTCTAATAGTAAAACTGTCTTAAATAAAAGCACCATAAAAATTTGATTTAATGACACCTTATTAACTTTAGTTATTGGAGGGATATTTATTATTTGCAGTTGTATGTTAAATCTGTATATGAAATTCAAAGAATGGCATGAGAACTGTCTCTAATTTGACACATTTTGTTTTAAGTTGGAACTATTAACTAGAAAGTGCTTTAGAGACAGGAGGAGCCAATCACATTTCTAGAACAGAACTTCTTTAATTCTGAAAAAGAGCTTACAGACACTTGCTGGAGTGTAGATATGGCCATGTGTATGTCACCATAAGCAATTATTTGTTGTATTCTGTGCTACTCGAGCCATAATGAAATTGGTAGGAAAGATCTAGTGCTTTTAATATCATTTTCTCTTTATATACAGGTATTTTGCACTTGGTCTCCTGTATCACTACAATGGTCAGGATGCTGCAGCACTTCAGGTTAGAATAAACCCTTTAGTGTCATCTGTGAAACATTCCAAAATGCCAGTTTACCTCTGAGATGATAAAAATCTGAGGTGCTAATTTACCTGTTTGAAATGTAGTGATGTGTATATATGAGAAACTTATGCTCAGACTTCCTTGAATAATTTAATATGCTAGATGTGAAAAACCTGAAGATCTCACTGAAGATGACAGCTATTTAGATGCTTGTATGCTTTTTTTGAAAGAAAAACTGTGCATACCACAACATATGTCCGTACTCTTAAAAGACTGACAGAAGTGCTAACATAATCAAAAGATCACTTAAAAGGGTGTTTGAGGGACTTGAGGAACATATCCTGTGCTGATTAGCCTGTATGCACCCAGTATTGTAATCTCATGGCAAATACTGGCATCAACTGAGAGTTTATTTCCTTATTTGATGGTGGACAGTGAACACATTCTGCAAGATCTGTGGGTTTCGTCAGGGTTAGTAATCCCTTTCAGGACACCCCCTTCGGGTGTCACTGAGGCTAGCAGTGGTCTGTAAGCTGCAGACTAAACTATTTTGTTATTCCTGTATGCAAAACTTCATTTAGAAAAATGTATATATTCTTGATCAATAAATAGCATGAATTTCTCAGACATTATCCAATACCTCAAGTAGTTTGCCTTACTGTGTGGCTTTTTGAGTATGTTAATCACAGTAACACTGTCAAATGCATTCAAGTCCGTTATGTAAATAGTAATTTCCTGAGCAGAAAGCCAGTAAGGATCTTCATCATGTGCAAGATATTTTTCTTTGTTTCAAGGAACAAGGTTTATAGCTGAGCTACTCTGCTAGATGTGGCACCTTTTCATTCCAATTACAATGTATATAAAATCAGTCTCAGAGGGCAGTTAAAGTTCTGGAGTCAAAATGAAACAAAAATACCAGGTTTTCTTCTAAATTGTGTCATTTGCTTTTAGTCTTGCACACGCAGAACACATGAAAAGTATACTGTTCATTGGAGAAAAGAACTTTTACCAAAAGCTTTCTTTGTGATTGGCATACCTCGTCCCAAAGTGTTTGGTCAATCATTTAGAATGAGAACCTATGTGATACGGGGTCTGAATTAGTGGAATATGGCAGGTGCAAGAGAAGCCTGTGATGGCATAAATATAGTGACCAGTGAGGTCTCTTGCAGTTGGTGTTCTAGGAGCTCTTCCTAATTCCACAAGTGCCAGTAGCTAATAGTAAGTCTTGTAGTAGCTTACATAAATTTTGAGTTGGAAGAGCTCGTACATGTTTTAAGCATTTTAATCTGTGTGTGTTTTTGTTGCAGTTATGGGTGAAAATAGTTGATGGAGACATTGAAGACTCTACACGTTCAGATCTCTATGAATACATAGTAGACTTCCTTACATTCTGCTCAGACCAAGATCTAGTGTGGAAATACTTTGAGTGGGTTTTACAGAAAAATGAAGAGGTTTGTAACTGGTATACTTCTCACAGAACATCAATATTTCTCTGCAGTGCTGTTTGGGTGTTCAGTAACATTGTTCCATCTTGATAGCTATTTGGACCATCTTGCTAGAATATTTAATGCCAGTTAAATAGTGATCAACAGAAGAAAACTTCCCATTTTTTTAATTCTTTTAAGTCCCTCTGTTAACAACTGCTAGTGATAATTGCCTTTTCTTCTTGAAATCAAAGTTTAGGTGATTCTGTCCAATGAAAGATTCAGCATGTCTTCATTTTGTCTTTATATTAGGCAAAATAATTTTCAAATCATAAAAATTTGAAAATTTGCAGGTGGGGGGGAGAGAAAATTACTTAATAGGTTAACTGTTGTTGCTGTTTCTTTTTTGAAATGATTCCAGGAGTAGGTCATACCTGTGTACATTGGGATGTGGAAACCTTATTGCTACAAGAATTAACTTAATCCACCAGAATTAAAAGAGTAACTTTGTAACATCCATTAGTGTGGTATGCTGTTGAATGGCATGCCTGTTGCTGTATCAGACAACCTGTGCTGCTGGAACTTGCCACAGCCTGATTTATTTTAATTTAAAGCTCAGTTATTACATGCAATGACAAGTTTCTGAACTTTTGTTTTAGTCATAATAGAAGTCTCTTGCTCTGTGTATATAGCCACATTTGATAAGGCTGTGAGCATTCAGGTCTCTGACTTGCACTTTCTTGCTGCAAAGGTGGAAGTCTCTCGTTCTGTTATTAATGCAGATCTGTTCAGTACTTTTTGTGCCCACCACAAGGTTTGTAGGCTGGATAATGTATAGATTATGAATTGAGGTAATGGAGATGGAGTTTATCATGATCTCAGTCACTCCTGATAAGTGTAATCTTGGTGCTGTTTAGCAGGGTTTTGTGTTATCTTCCTGAATATTGTGCTAACTAACCTGTTAGTGCTATTAAATAAGTATTTAAATAAAAAGCTAATAAAATGATTGCTGCTAAATGCAATTCTTCCTAGGTTGGTGTACAGATTTTCACTAAAAGGCCTTTGGAAGAACAGGAGAAAACCAACATGAATTCAGATGATATCATCAGTTGCCTTAACAAATATCCTAAAGCACGTATTAAGTATCTAGAACATCTAGTACTGGAAAGGAAGATAGAGGTGAGTCCCACAAGAATACTTTACAGTAAGCATAAGATTCGGAATGCAGACTATGATGAACAACTCTGAAAAAAGCCATAGTCTAGAAGCAATAAGCATAATCTGAAGGTTTTTCGATGTACTCAGAGTAGGGTAGGAGTGGTTTTAAGATTTAAGTAGAAGATGAGAAACAGATAACTGCATTATTTTTAACTTCTAATCTCTAATGATGGCAAGACAGTTGCTTACCTCCCCTCAGAGGTTTGGGTTTGGTGGTGTTTTGGGTTTGTTTTTTGGTTTTGTTTTTGTTTTTTTTGATATCTGATTATTGGATACTTTTCACCAATGAGGCTCACACCTCTGTCTGGTAAGATCACAGAAAAATGGCCGAGTAACTGCTAATCCTATTGCACTGTGGCAGCAATATACTAAACTTGCTAATTCAGTGTTTTACTAGTAGGTATGTGTTATTCTATCCTTCTGGAGAAATTTGAGCAATTAATGATAGAATTAAACCATGCACCTCTCATTGTAGAATTTCGAACTACTCTAGATGTTGAATGTGAAAAGATGTGTTCAGAAGTCATAAGTGACAGTGTATTCTACCTTTGGGTTTTTAAGCACCACATAGAAGCAGCCAAATATTTTGGTACTTGGATATGAGACGCTTTAAGCAGACAGGAAGTTCCTTAAACCTGCAAGGAAATGAACACTGAAAGAACTCAGCAGAACTGATGACCAGTTCACTAATTCATATTCTTCAAATACACACACTAGGTCAATGGTTTCCCTCTGTTGCTACTGCAGATATTTCAAGGTGTGTGACATGACGATGGATGAATGTACTGGTTTCCCATGTCATGAATATTTTTAAACAAACTTTTTGAGTCAAGCATAGGGCCTTGTAGACTATTTGCAATAAAAATAATTTATAATTAAATTTACCTGCTAGTAAAGGCTGGGTTATAAATTGATTTTGTCTTTACAAAGTCTTAGTTTTATTATGAATGCTTTAGTGAGAATGTTTCAAACAGTCAAGTCACGACTTGTTTTGGTGAATCTTGGGAAGTGAATAACACAAAAAGCACTGTACCTTCAGCGTGCTTGTCTACCTCTGGTGGCTTTCTCAAATATTATTGCAGAAATAGAAAAGGTCATAGAACATAGCTGAATATGAGAAAGAATTAATTAGATAAAAGTTACTCATTTTACAAGGGAAACAGAAGGAGAAGACACAGCGGAGATCGCACTTGTATTCAGAGGAGAAAGATCTGCTTTTGCATTGACTTTTGTTAGGTGAACTTTTGAGAGGAAATAATTTTTGCGCAAAAAAGCTATTTATAGAGCTTGTTTCTCAAAGGTGAAGCGAGGGTTAGGAATAAGGTATTTCATATCTACATTTTGGAAATAGCTGTATTAGTGCAATAGAGAATCCTAAAGCGAAGCTGGTCTGAATAGGTTGTCTATCTGCATGAACAAAAGACTTTTGAGTAATTCAAATGAATTAAAATATTTTTTCTTTATGTATATATTCATTGCTGTTACTGGTGGGGACAAGGGGTTGTGTTTTTAAAGTAAGCTAACGTATTTCTTTTCATCCATAGAAGGAAAAGTACCATACTCATCTAGCTGTCCTGTACTTGGAGGCAATACTTCAGCTAAAATCTGGGACCACAGATAATTGTACAGAAACAACTGAACTGCTGCTTAAACTACGCAGTCTTCTTCAGAAATCTGATCTTTATAGAATTCACTTTATTTTGGGTAAGATACATGTCGCCTACTATAAATGCTCTGTGTTGGTTCCAGCAGGAAACAAAATTAAGTCCTTATAAAGATAGAAAACTAGAAGATCTGAGGTTTCTAGGTGTACTGGGTTGATAGGTTTACCAGCTGTATTTCTAACAGACACAAGCTAATTTAGAAAGCTGTTAGATATCTGTTAGTGTTGTCTTTGGTCTCCCATAGTTCATGAGGTACAATGGTAAGTTTGTCACTGCACCAAAGACACAATACCTTAACTAGGTAGGAAAAAATGTCTTCATACAATTTTCTTCTTCATGATGAGCATGTAACTTGTGCCAGTCTTTTGCAAATGGGAGGACTTACAAATTTATTTAAGTGGCCTGTCTCAGTGAACTGAAACAAAGCTTTGAGGAGTCTGATTACCAAGGACTTGTTTGTTGTCCCTAACCCACTCTCACCCCAGAAGCTGGGGTTCATGCCAGTCAAAACCACAAGCATCTTTTTGAGTCAAAAATGCAACGTGTGCTTTACTGTTGGTATAAGGCAAGAAACTGTTGAGCTAATTTTTTTCCTTGTCTAATGCTTACAATGCCTAATTTTTAATGTTTAATCCACTGCAACAGTGGATTTTCTAATTTATCTTGAAATGCCAGATGAACTTGTCATTCTCCCTGCCTGTTGCTGACACTTCACCTTTGAACTGTCAAACTGGATTAAGGGTTTGTTGTGTCCTTTTCTTAAAGCAAGGTACTATTTGACCTTTGTCCTCTGTGGACTTCAAACTATTTGTTATTTTCTATAATAAGAGAAGCAGAGGTTAAAAAGTTTGGGGCTTCATCTTAGTTTATAGTGGTAGCAGTGTGTGCAGAAATGTGCAAGACTGGCATGCTAGAATTTAAAAGATACAAGTGGCACTGGTTTTACAACTGTTACTTAGTAATCTTTTTCCCATATTTTGTGGTGCTCTTTTGTGGGGGATGTTTCCATACATCTAGACGTTCTTGTACTCATAAAAATCTATCCTCTCTATAGCTGCCAGCACCTCTGCAAAAATAGCAGGAGTTTTGACTGTGGGTTTGTTTGCATGGGCTGTGAGAGGGAGTAGTCATCTACTCCACTGAGTAAATACTGCCGTGTTTCTCGTTTAACAGACAAAATCCAGGGCACAGACCTTCATATGGAAAGTGCAATTTTATATGGAAAGCTAGAAGAACACGAGAAGGCTTTGCATATCCTTGTCCATGAGTTAAAGGACTACCATGCTGCTGAAGAATACTGTATATGGAACTCTGAGAACAGAGACATGCAGTACAGACGGAGGCTATTCCATATGTTGCTGTCAGTGTATCTAAATCCAGGCACTTCGGACTGTGCACTAGTCATGGCTGCTGTGGACCTCTTGAATAACCACGCTGCTGAATTTGATGCGGGTCTAGTTTTGCAGGTGGTGCCTGACAGCTGGTCAGTGCAGCTCCTCTCCCCGTTCCTGGCTGGAGCAGTGAGGCAAAGCATTCATACAAAAAGAATGACTCAGGCTGCACTTGGCTTAGCACAAGCTGAAAACTTAATCTACAAACACGAGAAGGTAGGTTGCTTAGAAGCTCTATAGTTAAGTCCTTTGATATGTGATAATAAGAACAGAAGTTTGAAGAATCTGAGGGTGAGGGTCGGTCTCTTCTCCCAAGTAACAGGTGATAGGACAAGAGGTAACAGCCTCAGCCTGTGCTAGGGGAGGTTTAGACTGGATATTAGGAAAAATGTCTTCACTGAGAGGGTGCTCAGGCACTGGAACAGGCTGCCCAGGGAAGTGATGGAATCATCGTCCCTGGAAGTGTTCACAAACCGTGTAGATGAGGCCCTGTGATAGGGTTTAGTGGTGGAGTTGGCAGTCCTGGCAAAAAGGTTGGACTTGATGAACTTAAAGGTCTTTTCCAACCCAGCTGATGCTGTGATTCTATGAATTAGGCCAAAGCTGTCTTTGTGTCCCTGACAAATATACTTGCTGCATTTATTAGCTTTTTTTGCTATGACTACTAGATTCGGACTTAATTTTATGCTTCCTCTGTAAAACAAAAGGGAAGGTGGAGCCTTGAAATAGGAGGAACTTTGGTGAACTTTTGGGCTGAATGAAAGTGAATCTGGGATTTACAGGTTAACAAAGTTCTTGCAGAAATGTTAACAAATGTGAGTTAGCATTTTGTCGTTAGGATTGAGACCTGCAAGAATTTACAACAAAGTTTACTCAGCACTTAGTATTAATTGAAGCTTGTTAGTGATAAATTCACTTGTGAAACTTTCTTCTATTCCTAGCTAGAACTGAGTTGCTTAAAGCTCCCAGCAGATTCTTGAATCCATTTAGTTCTAACAATGGTATATCCAGCAGAATCTGTCTGGAATAAAAATGCATCAGTACTTAGTTTGTGCAGAGCTGTCCTGTGACATTGTTTAGGAAGCTGCCTTAAGTTTTCAGCTGCATTAAATGTGTGAGTGCTTTTCTTTATTAAACAAACAGAAGAAAAATAAGAAGGGAAAAATTACAAAAAAAAAGCATACTGCTTTTTAAGAGGAAGCATGAAAATGAGTGAATGTGAAACTGAATTCAAGTTCAAGCTGTCTTTTCCTACTACCTTTATCATTGATCGGGTTTGACCATTTAGTACAGTTGAAATTACATGTCTCTGTAATTTCCCTTCCTTTCTTGTTAATCTCATATTTGAATGGTTTTTTTCCCCTCTTTTTAGGTTAAACAAAGAGGAACTCCAATTCTTCTTTCAGACAAAAAGGTCTGTCAGGTGTGCCAAAATCCTTTCTGCGAGCCTGTATTTGTAAGATACCCAAATGGGGGTATGGTGCACACACACTGTGCTGCAAACAGACATCTGAATTCAAACATGACTCATCACTCTTCCAGCTCCAGCAATCAGACTTGAAATATGTTCTGGTCCCACTGGTTCCCGGGACTTACACCCCATTGAAAGCGGGTTGGAAAAAAGAACAAAGTGCAGCTACTTTAGGTATAAATCAAGATGAACAGCTAGTCTTTGGGTTATTGGGAAGACTTCCAGTAAATATGAAATATCACCACTTATCTTTTTAATTTCTAATGAATGTAGATAGAAGAAAATTCACTACCAGAAATGGAGAGGTGCAAATACAGGCTCTAATGTATATAATAATAAACAGTTAAAGAAAATGAGCCTTCTCTTCACAGTGAGGATGAATGTTATGGAAACAAGGCAAACAGTTATTTTAAGAAATGTCACTTTGCACTGAACGTGGTGTTGATAAGTTTGTAGAGGTGGAGATGTCATCTATTGGAGTTGGAATTCTTGGAACGTTATGTGACAAGACTGGCATCATGCAGCTTACTATCAAGACAAAAATATGCTTTGGTTATAACATTTGCTGCAGCATGCCCTCTTTTGGGCTGGATTCTCTTCCCCAGGATCACATTATGAACTTGATTTTTGCTCTACAAATTGTTGGCTTTTGATGCACTTTTCAGTACTTCCCCTCTCTCCTCTGCTATATAGGATTTAAATGTAAGCACTGGTCCATTAGGTTTCTACTCCTACAGTTACTGTAAAAAAAACTAAGTGGAAACTAATAGCCTCAGTCACACAGCTGTGCTTGGAAGAAAAAGGAGGTCAGATTATCTGGTCATATTGTAGTCACTTTTCTATGGGGGAAGAGACCTTAACTTTAATATTGATTTATTTATTAATATGCAATTATACTGTACATACAGTTGAATAAATTGATCTTATATCATTCTAGAGTTTCTTTGGAGGCTAAAGATGTGCCTGATACAAAAGTGTACAGGTTATGTGCTAAATGTTTGCCATAACATAACTTAGGCAGATAGGAATTCTACAAGAACAGGTTTTTATAACTTGTGTATGGCTTGTGCAATCAAAATCATGGAAAGATGGTATAATTGGGAAGAAATCTACAAAGGTGCACTACAGGGGTACTGGATTTGTTATATTCTACAAAACAAAAAAGCAACAAAACCACTTTAACTTCCCTGATAAGTATTCACATTGCTATTTAACCATTTTAAAGCAATCATTTTAAAAGAAGCAGCTTCCCACAACGGAAGTTAAAAAATGGTGACTTTAAATAAAAGTATTTCAAAGTCAAAGCATTTATTTTAATTCTGTAAAGCTCTAATAAATACCAAGCTTACTGACTAGCGTGCAGTTGAGTTAGTACAGCTGCTCACTGTTTCAGCATTGCCACTCAGAGTGGGGACTTTCAGCAAAATGGGGTATCTTCTAGATGCAGTCTCGGAAGAGGTCTCCTGTTTCAGAAGGGTTAGCTTATGAAACAGCCTTGTAAGCACAGTGCTGCCTCCAGAAAGGGGCAAACAGATTACATTCAGGGGAAAAAAAATATCCATTTCTTTGTTAAAGCAAAAGACCTTTGGTTCTTTCTCTTTGCAGTTTGAAATTAGAAAAGTATAGTTGTGTTGGGTTTTAAAAATGAAATAAAATCCAAGTAAGGAGTAGCATAGCGCTCCCTACTAAGACATGTAAGAAATGTTTAGTGAAAGGCACCTTCAAAAAAGACAAATTCTCCTGTGGCACTGGTATGAGCAAATTCTTTGTGTCTTGTATTCATGTTTTTCAAACAGTGTGTATACAGTGGGCAATGATGACAGACACATTTGTAGTCCCCTGTCCTCAGAATCCTGATAGCGAGGAAGTGATTTGACAAAGATCTGATAAGCCTTTTGTGTACAGTAGCATGCGATTCATAAGAAATACTTTCTTTTGCTGCACGCATCCTCAGTCTGCTCTGCTCTTGTCTAATAAGGAGGTACTAAGCCAAAGACCACTCTCCATGATTAAGACGTTCTAGCCATGAGGTAGTGATGAACTTAGTCTTGTCAACTAGTGTTGCAATGGAATAGAGATCATACCATTCCAGGCCACAAGGAAGTTCTTAATTGTTATTGCATGAAAAGGTATGTCTGTAAAAGATGAGTCAATTCTTTATTAATATTCAACATTTTTCAGATTTGTACTTTGGCTAAAATCCTCCAGTAACAATAATTGTACATAAACAAACAAATACAGGAATTGCAGTAATGCAAGGTAGCATATGTGCAATAATAGGTGACCAAAAGGGTGATAAATATTAAAGTTGGGGGATTTAATTCTTTTAGCCCCCCAGAGATGTGGACTGGAAAAATACTGACATTTGATGCATACATCATTACCCATTTCTTTGTTACATTTCATACTAGAACTCATTTGGATAAACTAATATGGAAGTCCTATGGTAACGAAAAAGATAAAGCCCACATGTGAGCCTGAGGTAGAGCAAGAGCTCAGCAGGGTGGTGGCAGGTGGAGGATGCTCTTCCAGTGTGCATGCAGCACTTGAGCAATTGAGATGATACTCGACCAGAGGAGATAACAACCTTCATCAGTGACACATGATATGCTGTACTTGAGATGTACAGGAAATTTATGAAAGATCTGCATTCGAATTTCCTTAGGTAGGACAACTACAACACACCTTGGGTAGAAGTACTTCACATTGGAGAACCTGAGTTCATTCCTCCTTTCATTTAGGTACTGCCAGTTTGCTTGGTTTTGTTTTACGTACCTAAAGTCCTGGCACAGCATTGATACTGTGGAAGTTCCTCTGCTATGGCTGCAGCAGCAAGGAGGGAATGAGTGGTAATCTGGTGATTAACTGCTGACTCCTCAATACATAGAGGAAGAGAGGCAGGAAAGAGGAATATTTCTTTCACCGTCCTTCTAGTTTGGAAATTAAATGGGTTCTGGGAGTTCCAGTTTGGTGCAATCTTTCTCTCTCCATTTAGGAAATGTGGTGTCTTAAACCTGCCCTTAGAGAGAGGAGATTCTGGCAGAATATTTCTTCTTAATATAGCTCTTGCTAAATTATTTGTGTTTGTAATTCATCTCTCACAGTTTGTTTTGGGTTTCTTTTCCAAATGAGGCTCCTCCAACTTCAAAAGTGTGAAAACCAAAGCAGTAGTGCAGATTTTTTGCTTGTTTGTTTTAATGTGACAGTGTGCCTGTGAGTCGGGACATGATAAATGAGATGAGTCTCACACAGATGCTTTTGCAGATATTAAGGCATGTTTGCTTAACATGTAACCTCTAATTACAGAAATACTGCAGCTCTGACTTTTTTAGCATCCTCCGTTACAGTTGCTGATACATACAAAAAGCACTTGTTAAACCCTCTGCTACTTTTTCATATCTCCACGCTTCCTTACATAAAAATTACCTGTGCTGTGTATATGTCATCGTTTGCAGTTTTGCCACTCTCTAAGTCAAAAAAAGAAAAATACTAATGAGAACAAATTGCCCAGAATACTCAAAGTCTGGAGAAAACAAGCAATTGGGGTTTGTTACACAGAGAGCACCACAGCAGCCTCCGAACTGACTTCTTCAGGCAGCCCGTACTGCGGTGGCTCAGGTCTGCACTGGAGTCTGGGTTACAATGAGAACTTCTCTCTTGGCTCCCCCTGCTCCCAGTCTCCAAAAACTTCCCAACCTTTGTTACCTGATAAATGTCAGTCTTTGAGCACTTAAGTGACATGGGTTTAAATCTGGGTGGACTCCTGAGCAGATTTGTCTCCAATAAAATGTCACTGTATTTACCTACTGATGTCAGTTGTGGAAAGGGAGGGGTAAGGATGGAGTATACATGTGTTCTTCCAGACCTTCATTACATGTTTGAACACACAAGCATTATCCTGACTGCTGAATCTTTATAACAATGCCCGTGCTTTGCAGGACTCCTATCCTGAATGACATTAAAAAAAACTTTATTTTATACTATTGTGTCAAGAAGTAACCTTTTATTCTATTGCTCTTCCCCATTTGCTGCAGTCTCTATTCAGCTCTAAGCGTTTTATTAACATCCTGCTGTTTTTAATAGGCAGCAGCTAACACATTTTCATTGTGAGCTCTCCTCCTCTTGCCTGTATTTACTAATTAATTTTTCTCTTGCTGTAAAACACTTTGGGGCTTATGCCTTGTGAACACTGATAATTAAATGTGCTGCTACTTTTAAAGGGAAAAGAAGTTAATGACATTCTGTAATGTCTGATTGATTACGAAACTGAAGTTCCCCTGCAGTAAATTTGTTCAGATGGAAATTTGTACTGTTAATGCTTTCTGACTTAACGGTTATGTTGGTGAACATATACAGCAGTATGTGGAATGTACAAATGTATAAATATGTTGATTTTTAATAAAAAAATCTTTTAATTATGTTTCTGTCATTCATTCCTAGGTATATAAACCCTGGGCTGTGCATGGCCAAGTGAAGGAGAAAGGCTCTTCAGTAGTAATTAGAGGATCCCTTTGGGTGACTGACAGGTGGTCAGATGAAAAGGCTGAATTAAGCAAGTGCAGGATGTTGGTGCAGATAACCCCTTGTGCTTAAGAACTAGTGAATTTCACTTTGGGGAAGAAGCCTTACTTTGTTTTACCTCTTTGTTTTACAGATTTACAGTGGCTACATTACAGATTTGGAAGGTCTTGATCTGCCTCTGTTGCAGCTGAAGCAATCCCTTCCGCGATTAAAGCAGGCAGTTACGTGAAAGGTCTGGTTAGTGATGGGTGCATGGGCATCCTGGAGCAATGTGAACAGAAGTACTAGAACATTTTGAAGGGAGGACCTCAAACCAGGCCTGGTGTTGATCCGGGAGCATGGGCTGGTAATTGAGAGCAGTAAAAGCATTGTAAGCATTAGCAGTGCTGTGGGCATCTCCTGGATGCCAAAGGCAGGTTGTGTACTGCATAGCTGGGGAGCTGGCAGGGTAGAAATCCAGCAGAGTGGGAGCTATAGTGAAGAGCTCTTGTTTTGAAGTTCAGCTCTATGTTCACTTGGCAAGGTTTCTACAGCCCTACCAGGTCAAGTTTGTTTCTTTGGCTGAAGAA